TTTTTTTTTCAAGATTCAACATTTCAAAATGCACAAAAAATGTATGCTTTGTATAAACAATTTGATAGAAATGGTGATGGAAAAATAACAGCTGATGATATAGAAAAGTATCTTCAACAAGCAGGTTTAGGTGGTGCTTCACCATGTAAGTATTAATAGAAATTAAATATTTTGCTGTTTTTTTTTATTATTATTGAATTATTTAGTCTTAGCAAAAGCAATTTTTCAAACAGTCGATCAAAATCATAATGGTTCACTTGACTTTACTGATTTAATGGCTTTAGTTACTATATTAAATAAATTATATGGTCAATATGGCTATTCTGCTCAATAAATTTTTTCAAATTTGCTAAATAAACATTAAGAACTTTTTCTTTTTTTTAGTTAGATTATATAACCTTTTGCTATAGACATTTCTTTAATCAATAAAATATATTCCGTATATACCAAGAATAATGGTGAAAATTTTTTAGTTTCTTACAAAAAAGCTTAACGGTACTGGCACTCTTCTCAATTTCGCGATCCAAAATTTTTTGCTTTTCTGTGTTCGTTGAATATCTAAAAATTGTCTTTCAACGTTAAAAATCAATTTAGTAAAAACTGTATATTGCTGCGCCTTTTTCTCAAATCAATTTTTTTTAATAAGGAAAAAAAATAGGACAGTAGCCTTGTAAATCCGATCGAATGAAAACTTTTCATACATACTACACATCGTGCAGAATGTTTTTTTGTTGTTGTTCCGATGAGTTTTTGAAGCACCGAAGAAAAAAAGTGCATCAAATCTTTATTTGATTTAATGTTCGAAAGAATTATTTCGATTATTGACAATTAATTACATTCGCTAAATTCAGTTATTCAACGTTTTCTATACTCTTGATTATGCAAAGAATTTTTTTAATTTTATAACAGCACGATCGAATATTTTGATTGCTTAAATTTTATTTGATTAAGTCAAGTATTGAAAAGCTCACTTAATGTGAAATATGGAAAATTATCTAACCCTTTGAGGACGAACTATTTGATTATTAATCATTATTTGTTCATCGAGATTCATTGCAAAAGATACATGATGTAAATCTTAAAACAACATATACATCCAAAAAGTAAAATAAAAAACAATTCAATTATCAATGATAAGTGAAGTTAATGTAGAAAAAACTAGGAATGTATTTATAGACGAGTACGTAATAAAGAAAATGTGGATCGGACATAAACTGTAATCTATATTACTACCATATATGATCACAAACAGTTATTATGAAAATTTCATTATTATGATATTAGTTTAAAAGAGTAACTTCAAATATGTGCTATGAAATATGTTGAAACTATTTATATTCCATAGAATTTTTTCGAATCTCATCCATCGGAAATAACATTTCTTTTTTTTTTATTCAGTTTTTGATATTGAATTCGAATAAAATATTTTCATAAAGTTTGAAAAAATGGATTTAATCGAAATTCTAGAACTTCTGTGAAAAAGTCAGTTCTTTTCAGTCAAACAGTGATCAAATCGAAAGAGATACTATATATTCGTGATTAGCTTGTTTAGCTCTATAAAATCATATAAAAATCAGTGAGAAAAAAGTTCACTTGAATTTTGTCATTATTGGCATCTTATTTTTCATAGAAGTTAATCATATTTATATATCTTCATGTAATAAAAAAAAAATATGTATTGCAAAAATGCATGACATCAAATATTAACTGAATGATTGTTATCTAATTTTTCTTTATATTTATTTCTGTGAGAATTCAGAATACTTCTTCATAAACTCGTATAATATCTCTATCGAGTAATTTATTTTCTATAGTACTAACATACCCATAACGCCGTAAATTAAGTAGCGAATTTGCAATATAAATTGTATAATTATGATAACAGCAACAGTCTAAGAATTACAGTCTTACAATCATTTATTGATTGCAGAAAAAAAAAAGTTGTTGTTGATGTTGTTCAAATCATGTTCAACTTGGCCTTTGAAATTTTATTATTTTAACAATTAGTCACTATTATCAAATCTTATTAAAGCATATCTATAGATTTATATTTGGGCGTGGTCACGCATCGGTCACCCTCGCACGAGGAAGATTTAAACTCCAAAAAATAAAACTCTCTAAAATCAAAAGTACACCGCCGACGGTTTATGAAATATGTTGCAAACTCTGAAATATTTTATTGACCAGCAAGGATCTACAAAGAAATTTTTTTGACTAATTTCACCAAAAAAAATTTCCATTTTTTGAAATTCTGTAACGGTTGGCATTTGTTTTTTATAACTCAATCTTGGTTTCATAGAAATTGATAAAATTTTTATTGGTAATAGATCTAAATGGTCTCCATATATGATAAAAATTTCAGAAAATTTGTTTTTATCGTTGATGAGATATAAATGTTACAATGTGAAAAAATGAAATTTTGTAACGTGTGAACAAGCTGATTTTCTTTTCTATTGAAAATAACAAAAACATAGTTGATTAGGACGAAAAAATATAAAAACATCAAATTGAATCAATAGTATAATTATTCGCAACATCATGCAAATATTTAAATTTTCATTTCATTTGTATCAATATTTTAATTATTGATATATAAATTAAAATCTATCATATATTGAAGAAAAGAATCTATTAAAAACATCCACATATTTCATAAGTATTTTCTATAAAAAAAACTTAATCTAATAATACAATAATTATTCTAGTCGTATTTTAAAAAAATAATTGTTTTAATCATTTAATTTAATTCATTAAATATCTTTTTTATTTTATATTAAAATTAGTATAATTCAATTGCGAAAGAAAAACTCATAACAAAATACGCAATATTTGTACTGTTTAATCTCTATTATTATTCATTATACAAATAAATTCTTGCTTGTTTTTGTTTTGTAAAAACAAAAAAAAAATATGTCCTTAACAAATAAAAGTATATCTGTCAGTTAAACAAAAAACATTTATAATTATTTATTAATGTCATCGATATATACGTCATGACAAATTTGATAATGAAATAAACCAGACATTATTTGATAATACGAATAGAATATTATTAATTTATTCAATATGATAGGAACTTATATTCGAACATTTCATAAATATATATTCTTAATAAAATAATTTTCTTTTTTTTTGTAATAAAAGCAAAAGAAGAAAACAACAAAGAAATTACTTTAACTTAGTATACAAATTATGATATTAATCTAAACAAAAAATTAACATTATTATGATCATTCTCAATTATATATATATATCTGTTACAATTATAAATTTCCTATATAAACACATAAAATTCAATGATTATCTGATAAGAACAATCACACATAATAAGATCTTGATTAATATACATATAATCATTTTATAAATTTTAACTACTGTTTGATCTTTTAAGCCATACTGTACCACCTGATTCCATTATTGTTGTTGTTTTTAACATATTACGTTTTGTTGCTGCTGATAATTGTGTATATGGTAAAATTGATGTTTGTTCATAATCATCTATTGATGAAATAGCATCTTGTCGTTGAATACGTATAGAAGGTTTTTTAAATTCATTAGAAGATAATATAGGAGTTTCTTCAATAAGTATATCAGTTTGTTTTATATTACTTGTTGGTAAACGAAGACATGATGCATGAAGACGAGGAGCTGAATAACATGGACGAAGTGAACATGTTGTTGATGATTGTCGAACAGATGTATGTGGTGATGGTGAACGTGATGGTCGATATATATGTGATGATGGTGAACGTTGTCGACTTGGAAATTGAGAATGAATACTTAATTGTGAATAAGGTGATATTGATGGTGATATATAAAGCGGTCGTGCAAGTCCTGTTGTTGGTACACCACGTGATACAGATGAATGTCTTGAATAACGTCGATGATGTCCATAAGGTGCAAGACTAGCACGTGGTGTATATAATTCAATAAGTTCACCTGTTATAATTGAATTACGTTTAATTAAATGTGATAATTGATAACTTCGTGAACTTTCACGTCGTTTTGAACCAATTGTTAATGTATCATTTATTCCACTATATTCACTTTCAATATAAGTTGAACCAGTAAATATTTGTGAAAAATAAGATGATGCTATATGTGATGATGTTGACATACGTTGATGTCGTCTTGTATTATTTGAATGATTTCTTAATGATAAATCATTATTATTATTATTATTAATTTGTAATGTTGAATTAAACATAAATTTAATATGACATGGAAAAAGAAAACATGTATGACCAGATGGACCAATATAATAAAGAATTGATTGAAGAAAAAATGTTGAATAAATAAGACTAATTAATGATGATATTATAAATATTATTGCAGATTTTGATAGATAAGGTAATGATGAAAATAAACAAGGACAACATATTATGATTATTGAAAATGTTAAATGAAATAATGTTGTACATAATTGTTTAAGAGAATATATTGTTCGATTTTCACGTTGAAAAAAAAATGTTGGTGCTAGTTTATAGCTAAAAATTAAACAAAATATTGTTTTTAAAGATTATTTAATTATTCTTATGATAAAAATAATTAGTGTTCTCAAGAAAAGTATGATATGAGAACATATAGAAAGATGTTTTTAGTATAAAGATTAAAAAGTCATATGCCGATATATTTCGTTTCGAATAAAGACTTGTATCAAAAGTATTTTTTAAAAACGATCAGAACTCTCTAAATTTTCTATCAGTAAATGAGGTTGAATGCTATAATTTCTTTTTTTTTTGAATGTTAATTATTATTCTTTGATATTCATAGGAAAAACTGAGATATTTTTGGAGGCTTGATTCACATTCTCTCAGGATTTCACAAATATAAAGATAAGTCAAAATTAAAGTTGACTCGGACTTCTTCTCATGGACGTAGGTTTCAAAGAGAGGCACTAATCAAATTCCTAAAAACATATCAGCCCATGTCCTTTGAATCGGCTAAAAATTGCCGATTAATCCCGATTATTTCAGCGATTTTTACGATAAATCGTGATTTTATGCAAGATTTAACCGTCTGTTTACTGATATTTTCTACTATTTCATTGGCTCTTTTGAAGACACATATTTGAATTTTTTCTTGAATTTAATTCAATTTTTTTTGTTCTCAAGATCCAAGCCGATCAGATCGTGCGATCTGTCCGATCTCGAGCTGGTCCGATTCTTATCAGACTGTTTCAGTGTACTCCTCTCCAGATCATGGATCGGGATTGGCATTTCCTTGATTAAAAATAACCAAGAAATAATTTATCAGAAAAGTATATTTCGAAAACTTATTTGTTATGCATTGAACGGCGTTGTTTATATATCCGTATATGTTCATAACAAAACG